ACAGGTTGTCTGGAAGGACCTTAGTCGCTTAGAGGGAGCTAACAGCAAGGTGTTGTCCAGTGAGCACCTGTGCACCTCCCTACACCCGGTTCACGAGGATCCTGGGGAAGCTTATCTTGGTAGCTCCAGAGAACAGCCATTCCCTCATTCACAAATGCTCCCAAAGCTGAGTTGACAAAAAGCTAAGTAATGGCCGCTGAGAGAAAGTAAGAGGGTTTAAAAGGGGGGAGGGCAGGATAGACATCAGCAGTGGGTCCTGAATGCCACTGGGCTTGGCAGCTGCTTGAGCTAATCAGGTGCTTTCGCTGGCTCTGCTTCCAAGTACCACCAGACTGCTAGTTTGCTGCAACAGACTGATCTGGCGGCCACAATGGGATTTGTAGGCAGCAATGTAGGCAAACTCCCTTACTTTCAGTGCCTTCAGCTTCTGCCTGTTCTTCGCGTTGTTTCTGCTTGAATTTCATGTTGCCAAAGTGCATGATGGCTCCTACTATCTTATAGCAGCCGTATTCTCCTCGTTGCTGAAGCCCAGGATGTCCATAGCATGCTGCAGAAGGAATCAGACAAGGTGTGGTCACGACGAACGTCATCATTCCATTAACAAACAGAAAAGGATGAATTCAGGATGTACTGGCCTCAGTCCAGAAGGACTGCTGCACCCTTCTGGTGATGCAAATGCTAAGCAAATGACAAATGCGCTATAACTGGCTTGTCTAGCTGACATTTCTTTCATGCTGCTAAAAATATACCTCATTAAAAATTAAAGTAATAACTCTCAACAGCCTATATATGCAGTTTTTTGCTATTATGCATTTTCTGTGCATCTGAGTTGAGTTCATCGTATTTTCCATGGTGCACCCTTCAGACCCCCGCCATAAAATTTTCTAGCATGCAGATAATCTAAAACAGACAAATCCAGAAGCCCATGGACTTTGTTAGGAGGCTGGTTGGCAGAATCATTGTGGAGAGGGTAGAAGAGGGTGAGGAGAGAAGGGTGTGGCCAAGAGAGAGAGAGAGATCCCACAGAGAGTGCTATGAGCCAGACTGAGAATCTTGGGAAGACGCAGGCTCCCCACCCCTTAAATAAGAAAAGGATGCATGATTCACATCAAAACCAGTGCCATTTGAAATGGCTAGCTATGTAGCAACAAATGGAACAGTAGTTTGTTAAGGGTGCTGGGAATTCTAGTTCATTTGGGGGTAAAGTACAGTTTCCAGGATTCTTTGTGGAAAACAATTGTGCTTATTATATTTATTTTCTACCCCCTTTAAAAATAATGGGTCTCAGAAGCAGTTTAATAAGGCTAGACTGTGTCCCCGCATCACAAAGAGACTTTGACATCCCAGTTGATTTCACAGTGGATTAACACATACATCTGTAGCCAAGAGTTCCTCTCCATCGTCCAGGTTGTCTACAGTTGTTACACCTTGTGAGCAGAAATGGTAGTCATAGGGGTTGGAAGACAACAGCAGCATATCTGGGGGGGAAACAGACAGAAGATGCATTCTTTGTTTCACAGCATATTGTGGGTACATGCCCAATTTGAACTATGAATCAAGTGGCTTATGAATCAAGGATCAGCTTGGAAGTTTCAGCCTCAGAGGCCACATAGTCTCCATTACGCGGCTACCAGAAAGGCATGTGCATTGTATAGTTGCATCTCCGCCAGCTATCTTAGGAACACCCTTGGGGCCGCCTGACTGATTTAGAAGTGGTCAGCCTTGGCCTTGTGAGCACCAGATAAGATTACTGCTCAGTAGAGCTCTCCAGACCTGCCTAATAAGGTATTGTTTGTCACCGAGCAGCAAGAGCAGCAGGCAGAAGCCCAGATTCCTTACTGCCATGACAGGACACTATGCTAAAAATCCCTGTCCGGTCGGAAAAGGGTTTCGCCTACATTTCCTATTTCACAGCATCGGGTTCCATACTGGAAAGATGCCTTGAGTGCAGATCATAGCATGACGGGGAGGGATCATTATTGGACAAGCTTGCCATCCTCTCAGAGAGAGGTCTTACATGAATATGTCTGAAGGACCTCCCTGCTCACAGTGCTCTTATTTGTGTGAGGTTTGTAGGAGCAAACAGGGAGAGAAAGATTGAAAGGGAGCAAGTGCAAACCTTCTCTGTGATCCAGTTCTGGTCAAGCACAGTTACCCGTTCCATCAACATGTATATAGGGATGCCCATCTAAATGGGCATCCTGTTGACAGTGATGACATGCCGATGAATGGCATTTACATAAATGACAACTGTATTCAAATACGCATCTGAATAATCCCTTGTAGGTTCTGATCCAGAGGGAGATACATGTGTGTGAGCCTGCTCTCACACACACATCTATGTTTCTATGATCTATCTTTTGATCTGGCTCTTTTGAATCAATTACGTTAAACATCTGACTGATATGCAATGAAACTAAGTTCTGGTGTGCTCAGAATCATGGACCCAAGAACAAAAGGTGCTTAGGACTAAACAGAATTTGGGGCAAATTAAAAAAAAAATGATAAAATGTTCAAAATTTGAATTGTACTTTCAAATATGCTCCATATTCACTTTTGAAATTGAAATTTGAGGGCTACTTAAAACATTCTTAAAACTTAATTCCCTTTTGTAACTTTCCAGATTCTATATTCTACATCCAACCGTGATAGTCATTGGGCAGGTTGCTTTGAGGTCCTTGGAGGGAAGGCAAGTTATAAACGTATTTACAATAAATAAGTCTCGGAAACAAGGTTCACTTTAAGTGCACTGATAAGCACAAGCCTTTTCAAAGCACCGGTGCCAATGTCACAAATATTGGGTTAGCCTAAATTTCAAAAGCACTGAGGAGATATAAGGTGTGTTGACATTGGTGGCATCTAGGAGTGTTCAGCAGGAAGGATGGACAAATTTGTCAGGGTCAGTTTCTTAAGTTTCCAGTTTTTTCCCCAGCCTGAGATTTTTTTTAAAAGAAGATCCTCATGAAAATTCATCAGCATTTTCGTGCAAATTTCTCCTAATATACACATTTTTGTATGATTTTTGCATAACATACACATTTTCGCAAAGCAGTTTCCCCTAATATAATGCACTTTTGTGTGTTATTTTTCCCTACTATTTGCATTTTTTTATACATTTCTTGGCTTTCACAATTCAGAGAAGTGTGAATTTCAAAGGATAGCTGTGTTTTGGGCCACGCATTGTTTTGAAAAGTGCACATTTGTTTTTAAATGTGAATGGAATTGAATTTATTCCCCATCCCTACTCAGTAGGGATATCATACTGAGCACATCTCTTTTGTGATCATCTGCATTGTGTTTTCCAAACTTGATTGTCAAATTTTTTTGTATATTATTTTAGTGCCTCTCACCTTGGAGTTCTGGCTTCTTTCCAGAAAGGATTTGATAGTAGATATGGTAGCTCCTCTCTCCTGGCTGCTGGAAAATCACTCTCGATTTTTCCAACAAATCTAGAAACAACAGGTAAGAATCAGATTGTGGGGTTACTACTTCAAGGGTTTATCAAACTGCTCAAGTTAAAAAACAACATGGATGTCATGTGACATCAGCCATTTACTCACAGATGTCAATGTCAGCGGAAGCCAGCTTCCCTGAAGGACCAAAATGGATGCGAATGAACTTGCCCTGTTTTGATGGGAAGGAAAAAGGCAAATGAATAGAAGTACTCACTATGACCTGCAGGCTCTTAAATAGGAAACCTTCTGTATTCAAAGTAAGATAATTTGTGCATCTAGGCCAGTATTGTCTGCTCTGACAGACAATAGCCAGATAGAGGGATAAAGTGCTGTCTGATTATAGCCTCTGAAGTTGCTATTCAAGGGGAACTCCTACTGGCACCAATGGAGCTGCCCCTTGACATGCAAATAGCAGCTTCAGATTTTTGTTGTGACAGGTAAGGAAGAAGTTAAACTTCCCATCCCCACCTGTCTTCACACAGCCCCAAGGCTCCTCATGTTTTCCCATACTTGCTATTTCCATAACATAAATGTGCAGCTTTAATTGTATTCACATTTTAATCGTATTGTGTTTGGTCATAACTCCCTTCCTCAGAGGCTGATTTCTCTGTTCCAAATATCAAAACATCACTATAATCTGCTAAACAAATAAATAAGAGAATTTATAGATATGGAAATAATTTGTTTCATACGCTTCATTGTGTCATAAACATTTCTATAGGCTTACCAAAAAAAAAACCCACATATGCATATTGCCTGTAATAAATGCTCTGTACTATACTTTTGTTTTTTTTTTAAATACTTACAAAATCGTGAGGAATTGTCATTTCTCAGGGTTTTGGCGTTGCCAAAGGATTCCATAGCAGGGGTTAGCCTCAATGATTTGATCTTCAAGGGTACCCTAGGTCACGTAAACATAGGATAGTTCAAATACCCAGTGTTGCAAGCCAGATTTATCTGAATACTGATGAGAGCAAGATGAGGAACACAGCATAGAGGATGCCATTACTTTCTTAACCTTTTGAACCAATATCAGCAGTTGCCTCCTGAATCACAGGCATGTGGCCCTTGGAAAGGCTGCCCAGAAGAGAAAGCAGCCCTCGGCTGAAAAAGGTTCTCTAAACCCTCAATCAAGGGTAGCCTCCAAAATGTTGTCGAACTACAAACCCCATCATCCTTGACCACTGGCCACACTGGCTGGAGCTCAGGGGAGCTGCACTCCAAAAACATCTCTAGGGCAGTATGTTGGCTACCCATATCTAGAAGAGTCACTCATATTTTGGAGGCACATACATTCTGGAATATGGAACACTGTGTTCGAGAGATGTTCTGAGACCTACATATGAAGCAATGCAATGAGAGCAGAACAATGCTTCTTACTGGAGAATGGAGAGAGGACATACAAAGGAAGCATCAGGGTACTTCCAGATGGGTGTTTATTGTTGGGATCGCCACTCCTCAAGTATGGAAGTTGTTTTTATTTTTTTACTGTGTCCACATGACGTCATTATCATCAAAATACCAGCTCATATCTCCCTGCCTTCCCTTTAATCTGGATTTGCCCTTTCCAGAGAAAATCCAATATTATTTAAACAAAAACAAAAAAGCAGCAACAACTGATGCCAAAGACCCATGTGCAACATCCCAGTTTACAGTATTATACCTCCATCTGGAAGCACCCTCAGGCTACTTATGAAGGTGTCAGTATGTCAGAAATGAACAGATGGACATAGGAGCCTGAACCACAAACATGGGGTGTAAATTCAGTCTTGGATAGTTAATCTGGGCCATTAATACAAAAGTGACAGAGGATTTGTTTGCTTCTAATTATGCTTCTTGTGTTGGCTTGGAATGCAACACCATTGAAACGATGTGTTCTGAAAAATGGAGATTTACATTTTATATTACCACCACTCATTCAAAAGGAAAGGAAAGACACCTCTTCTTTTTCATGCCTTTAAAGCTTAAAAGAGGAAGGGAAACTTAGAAAGCACTAAGTATGCAATCCTATACCCATTATCCTGGGAGTAAGATCCACTACTCACTGTTAAGTAGGGTTGCCATACGTCCAGAATTTCCCGGATATATCCGGAATATATACAGCCAAAAGCAGTGTCTGGGCAGAAATTGGTGAAAGGTCTGCAAGAATCCAGACGTATGGCAGCCCGTGTCGGCAGTGTCATTTTCCCTCAAAAATAACTCAAAAACGTTCAGATTTTCACTTTTTGAAATACGGCAACCCTACTGTTAAGACCATGTTCATGGAAGACAATCTAATTTGGCTACGACTGATTGCCAAAGAAGAAAGAAGTTGGTTAAGCTTAGACTCATTGAAACAATCAGGCCTCTGTTAGCTCCATTAATTTCAGTGGGTCTACTCTCAGTAAAACTTAGTTGACTACCACCCCACAGTACTGAATTATCAGAGAAGAGCAAAAGAACTAGAATAAAATGAACAACTTCTAAATATCTAAACAACTATTAACACGCATCTTAATGTTTAGCAGATTAAAGTCAAAGAATGAAGAGTTGTTGCTTTTCTACAGATTTTTGGAAACACCCTATAATATTCCTTTAGTGAGATGCTTTGTATGCTAACAAAGTCCTATATTATATAGGATATATTTCTGGACACTAGAATGAAGCCAGAAATGCTGATTCACGCAAACATTCTGCTTGTAGTGGTCAGCTAAAATTGCCACATGTATCAGCTCTGTATCTGGTGCCAAGTGGTCACATGCAGCCACCGCAGGCACTTTTGGATGATCTGCTTATTGAATATGCATCCTGATTTGTTTGCAGGGAGGTTAGATGATGTAGGGTCAAGGCAAAACTGATCTTTTGGAGAAGCTGCTTTCTTGCACGAGACCTCCGAATCAACTACAGTGGTACCTCGGGTTACAGACGCTTCAGGTTACAGACGCTTCAGGTTACAGACTCCGCTAACCCAGAAATAGTACCTCGGGTTAAGAACTTTGCTTCAGGATGAGAACAGAAATCGTGCTCTGGCAGCGCGGCGGCAGCAGGAGGCCCCATTAGCTAAAGTGGTGCTTCAGGTTAAGAAGAGTTTCAGGTAAAGAACGGACCTCCGGAACAAATTAAGTACGTAACCCAAGGTACCACTGTATAATAAAAGTCTAGAAATACTGTGCCATGAACAAGACCAAACATTTCACATGCTCAAATGGTCCAAAATGGAAGCCAGTGCACAAAAAGTTTAATCATATGCATAGTTGCTTCTTTATATGGCCAACTAGCCACAGGCAAGGACTGGAAATAGCTGCCATGAATCTGATGGTCATATTGCCTGCTCCTCAGGAACCATTTTCTTGGAACTAATAAGGTATTATTTTATCTCTCTGCCTTTGAACATGAAATCAGTTATTTCTTTTAAATACTTACCCCAGTTTTAGTGGCAGGAGCTTGCTATAAGAAAAGATAAGAAAATAGCATTACAATTCCAGAAATATAAAACCAGTTTCACAGAAAGTTCCATCCAAAGAGGAGGACATTTCAGATTTGTCCAGAAGAATGTTAAAAAAGCTTAAATTTTAAAAACCCAACTTTTTATTATTCAAAAACCCCACTAAAATATGTTAAATAGATTAGATCAAGATCAAGAACAGCATCAAGAAGCAAGAGGGTTAAAATCAAAATCCAGGGAAGGAAAACAATGCTGGTGAATTTCTTTTGGCGTAACCCAAGTCCAAAAATAATCAAGAAGTAAGAAGGGTATTTTTAAAAAGAAAAGGAAAAGGAAAAAAGGAGTGTGAGAAGAAGAAGAAAGAGAGTCAGAAAACATACAAGATGAAAAAGAATCAAAGGGAACAGTATAGATAACGGAGGGAGGGGATCACAAAAAGCAAGGCTTAAAAGAAAGAGTTACAAGAATGCCTTGGGGAATTTCCCCCATTTTCAGAAAAGAAAAACTGTGGAGTGGAGGAAAAAGCCAGTGACTTAAAAATTCCGTAAAGCAGCCACTGCTTGGGGTTTTTAGCAGCGCCCACTTTATGAAACCTTTTCCCTCAAAGCAATTTTTTCAAGCCTTGCTTGTTTCAAAGTAAAAGAAAAAGTCACGTCCACCACGCACGCTGCCAAACACAAAAGAAGACCAAAACAAAACAAACCAAAAATGAACAAAAGAAAACAGCCAAAAAGAAAAAGGGGGAAAAAGGTTTTCAAATGAGGGCCTTACTCCTTTCTTGCCCGGAGAGTCACCCAGGGCTGCGACAATGGCAAAGTACTGAATAACCCGCTTGGTGTTTACAGTCTTACCAGCACCAGATTCTCCGCTTAGAGTAATAGAAATACACAGATCAAGAACACGAAGCAACTACTGTCAAAGGTTATTTCACAGGCACACAGAAACAGCTAGCCAAAATCCCACCCACCCAGAAATATACAGCAGAGTTGGGGGGCATGTGGGGAGGGTTGTTTAGGGTTGTTTATTTGGGTATGGTGGCATCTGGCATGCAGGGGGCATTTGAATGAGAGTTGTCCAGGGTAGAAGAAGTTCCCCCAAAAAAGCAAAGGTGATGTGACATGGGGGAAAGCTGTCCTGACATTGCTTCCGAAATGGTGTGGGAAACTGATGTTCCTGCTGGGTTGAAAATGTGTCCCCACCTGCAGGCTGAAAAACCTATATCAGATTTGGCACACATGGGTTCCTTGTGCTGCAAGGGCTGCCTTTGAGGGAGCAGCGAACATGTAGTTCAAGCATAAGGAAACCTGTGGCCTCATTGGACTACAACTCCCTTCATTCCTGACCATCAGTAATGCTGGCCGATTATGATGCCAGTGGAAGAATCACAGGTTCAACCCCTTGCCCTGATGTAAATGCACCTACATTTTGCTCCTAGAGCAACGGCAAATTATTATTATTATTATTATTATTATTATTATTATTATTATTATTATTATTTATTTGTACCCCACCCATCTGGCTGGGTTTCCCAGCTACTCTGGGCGGCTTCCAACAAAGATTAAAAATGCATTAAAATGTCACCCATTAAAAGTTTCCCTAAACATGGCTGCAAAGAGTGCAGATTCTTAGTGTATATCTTGTAAGAGCTTTTACAAGGCACACTTTAAATGGAAAAGGAAACAAGGCAGTTGAACTTGTTTTTCCAATGGGCCATTTTACTATGAACTGGCTACAGGTGGTTAATAAACTTCCACTATTATCTCAAGCAGAAAATGCACTTCTCACGAAGTTACTGGAAAGGAGGAGATAGATTTTTCTTTCTTTTCGATACAAATGCAGAGAAAATTTAGTTCATCCGTGGAATAAGAAGCAGGGCCTCCCAAGTAATTCCTGGCCCAAGTCCAACAGGCTGGCTCCAGGGTCCAGGCTTCTTTATCACATCAAGCAGGCTAGTATCGCCCTCCCTCCTGCCCCTTTCTCTGCAAAGCCCTCTGGCACTGGCCTGGCATTGATTTCATGCCTATAGTTAGCTGTTCTTCCATTGTGTAATCCCAGCACACAAAGAGACATGCTCGGCAGTGGGGGGAGCGAGGCCTCTGTAGGACAAAAGCCAAACATTGCACGCTATCAACCCCTGCTTTACCTAATTAGGCCATGGCCAAAGCTTCAAAGCGTCAGGGCTTCTGGCACTAGACTAGGCTTTATTTAGCTTCCTCAACATGGCTGTTTCGGTTATCATGTCTTCCTCCCTTCTCGCTCCTCTACAATTGGGCCTCAGCCACCCCAACATTCCTCCGCAGCTGTGAGGTAGCCATTTCCTATCCTCCCCATATCCTATCAGCTGCCTCTTTCTCTACCCCTACTTAGCTAAACCTTGTCTCCTTCCTTCAAGTCATTATCCTTCATAGGGCAACCACACCATGTCTCTAGTCTCTCTTTTAATCCCACCACCCCACTAGGAATGGAAGGATCTGTCAATTTTTTTGTCCCAGTTTCTCATTTTTCCAATCTTAAAATCAGTTCTCCACATTTTGCAGCAATTTGTGATTTATTTATTTTTAAATCCTCATGAAAATCCACCAGCATTTTAGTGCAAATGTACCCCAATAAACACATTTCTGGATGCAGTTTTGACTAATGTGCACATTTTTTGAAGCAATTTTCCCTAGTAAAATGCATTTTTTGTTCTTTTTCACATCCATTTTTGCACACTTTGCATATGTATGTATGTATGTATGTATGTATGTATGCGGGAAAGAATTTCAAAGCATAGCCATGTTTCAGTTTGCATATTGTTTTGGAAAGTGTGGATTTGAGAGATTTAGCTTCAAATGAGAACCTGAATACAACCCCCCCCCCATCCTTATCCACACATATGCATTGCTCCCCAATTTCTTTGGAGGTTGACTCCATGAGTTCTATGAGTTAAAAGTGAAACGGTGAAAATGATATGTGTCACTCTAAGAGAGCAATATTTTGCTTGTGATCAGGTGGCCTGCACACCCTGTGACCATCCAAGCTGAATACAGCCCACCAGCCACATCAGGCAATGGAAGAAACCCATGTTTTCTTACTGTCTGATATCAGCCACAATACCACGTTATAGCAATGAAAACTAGGCAGGGTGACTATACATTATCTGAATACCCATTGCTGGGGAACATGAGGAGGAGAATACTATTGCACCAATGTCCTTGTGAGATTCCCAGAGGCATCAGAATGGCCACATGGGGAAACATGATGGCTGGCTTTCCAG